AGAACTTCATTTGGACAACTTTAAAGGCAATTTTCTCAATATTTAGATTTTTTTGCACCCTCAGATTCCAGATTTTCAAATAGTTGTATCTCGACCAAATATTGTCCTATCCTAACAAACCATACATCAATGGAAAGCTTGTTTATTCAGATGTATTTTAAATCTCAATTTCAAAAAATTGACCCTTATGACTGGTTTTGTGGTCCAAGGTCACATTTTATGAAAGAAAAGGAAGACATAAAGAAAATTGGAAATCTTTATTATTATTATTATTATTAATGCTTAAACAGACAACAAAAAGGGAACATAGCCAAGGGATCACATACAAATCCAGGAAATAACCAATAATTATAAATAAACATAATTAATATACACATACACATTAATAATAAATAAAAAATGGTTACAAAAAAACAGAACGTGAATGACGTTTCAGAGACATTACAATGAGATTCAAACAATCACAAACAAGGAAATCATCTAAATGCAATTTTCTTTGAATACTTATGTATAATATTTCAGAAATCTCAGTGATTTGTTTATTATTTACAAGATGAGATTTTAGAAGTGAGTTTAATTCAATTTTAAAAAAGGGATAGGATGGGAAACTACACTGAACAAAATTATAAACGCAACACTTTTGTTTTTGCCCCCATTTTTCATGAGCTGAACTCAAAGATCTAAGACTTTTTCTATGTACACAAAAGGCCTATTTCTCTCAAATATTGTTCACAAATCTGTCTAAATCTGTGTTAGTGAGCACTTCTCCTTTGCCAAGATAATCCATCCACCTCACAGGTGAGGCATATCAAGATGCTGATTAGACAACATGATTATTGCACAGGTGTGCCTTAAGCTGCCCACAATAAAAGGCCACTCTAAAATGTGAGCCTAAGGCACACCTGTGCAATAATCATGCTGTCTAATCAGCATCTTGATATGCCACACCTGTGAGGTGGATGGATTATCTCGGCAAAGGAGAAGTGCTCACTAACACAGATTTAGACAGATTTGTGAACAATATTTGAGAGAAATAGGCCATTTGTGTACATAGAAAAAGTCTTAGATCTTTAAGTTCAGCTCATGAAAAATGGGGGCAAAAACAAAAGTGTTACGTTTATAATTTTGTTCAGTGTATAAAACATGACAGACAGATAAATGCAATTACAATCATTTATTTATTGCACAAGTGTCAAAAGCAGTACCAAAAGTAATACAAGTATAATAATAATAATAATATAGACTGTTAGGTGTGACATCACATGCGCGCGCGCACCTCTATGTTCTTCTCACGCGCTCCACGCGCTCT